CCCCCCCCCCCCCCTAAAAACAGTTAAATAAAGAAAAAACAATATATCCTCATGCAATAACTTTTCTGCTTCCGATTACCCCCATGCTTACACGTTGCAAAGGAAACAGAAGCAGGGAAGCAGCTGCCCAGCTCTGGAGCTCCACACCATTTTTTTTTTTTTTCCCAGAGGGAATCTCACTCAAGTATAAGCCGAGGGTTTTTTTTTTTCAGCACAAAAAATGTGCTGAAAATCTCGGCTTATACTCGAGTATATACGGTAACTATTGAGAATATAATCTACACAGATTAATAGTGAATTGCAAGTGTACACAAAATATCTTTCAATCAAATGTAGATATTACTATATACATTGTTGAGTTTTCCATTTAAAACTTTTTTTCAAAAAATTGAAAGTGAATCAATTATTTTTCATTTTAAAAAATGTGGAAGGTTTTATCAATTATAAATAGTATAAATGTTGGAAATGCCTGGCAATATTTCAGTAACTGAAGGAGATCGTTTTAAATTTGTTGTGTTTTAGGTAATGAGAGATCCTGCAAGCAAACGTTCACGAGGATTTGGTTTTGTAACATTTTCATCTATGGCTGAAGTTGATGCAGCAATGGCTGCCAGGCCTCATTCAATTGATGGAAGAGTAGTTGAACCAAAAAGGGCTGTAGCCAGAGAGGTAAGTTTTGAAGAGTGTGGAGCAGCATTACAGAATGCTCTTTTCTACTGTGTCCTTTTATAAAGGCAATGATTTTAAAACATTTATAATAAATGGGGCAGTGTTTTAAGCTTTTCAGATGTTGCTACATTCCAAATTGTAGATAATTACTTCATAGGAAAATAATTTCATTACATCCAATAGGTAAACTGTCCTGATCTTGAAACAAGACTGCTTTGAGATTGAAATATTTTCTATATGATTGGAATGGGAAATGTTTTTCAGATCCTTACCAATGAAACTCCTGATTTTCAAAATCCATGGAATAAATCAGTTTAAAATTTCTCTCCTATACCCAATACCAGAACCCCTTAATTTTATAACACTACTAATTGTTCTCAGGGAGAAAGATGATGTCCCTTTTTTAAAAAATTTCAATATACTATTTTTTTCAAGGAATCTGGGAAGCCTGGAGCTCATGTTACTGTAAAAAAATTATTTGTTGGTGGAATTAAAGAAGACACCGAAGAACATCACCTCAGAGACTACTTTTCAGAATACGGAAAAATTGATACAATTGAAATAATTACAGATAGACAATCTGGCAAAAAGAGGGGCTTTGGATTCGTAACTTTTGATGACCATGATCCTGTGGATAAAATTGTGTGTAAGTATCCAGAAATATTTTAAACAGGTATGTGAGTGAGACATTAAGGTTGCAGTTAAATTGTTTGTGTGTCTGTGTGTATTGCAGCCATTACCAGATGGGATTTTATTACTAAAGTAGTTTGTGTTACAGTTACTAGTTATTTTTAGTTAGTCTGAAAGCAAATTTGTTATCTTGCTACTTGCAAACTTAGGTAACAATCAGAGGCAAGTAATAGAAAAAACACTTTTAACATGAATTGGTTAGTATTCAATAAGAATGTTTCAATAAAGTAGCTATACTTAGTATTTGGAGAATTGATGGGGTGATGCCAGATTTGGTAATTAATTGACAAAAATATTAAGCTTTGCTGGACAGTGATGTTAAGTCAGAGCAGGAAAGGTGTAGAAAACTGGCTTGTGACTTCAGGCCAATATCAAGAAACTTCAGGCATTCTGGATATTCAGATAGTTCTCTACTTACAACCACAATTTAACTCCAAAATTTTGTAGCTGAGGAAAGCATTTGTTAAGTGAGTTTTGCCCCATTTTATGATTTTTTTGACACGGTTACAAATGAATCACTGCAGTCGTTAAGTGAATCATTTGGTTATTAAGCAAATCTGGTTTCCCCCATTGAGTTTGCTTGTCTCCTGAGAAGGTTACAAATGGTGATCACATAACTCTGGGACAGTGTAGCTGTGATAAATACAGGTAGTTCTCAACTTGGAAGCATTTATTTAGTGACAGTTCAAAATAAAATGGTACTGAAAAAAACTCAAGACCATTTTTTATAATTAGCAACTGCTGGAGCATCCCCATGGTCGTGATCAAAATTTGGATTTGGTAAGTGGATCATGTTGGAGTGACCCAGGTTATGTGATCACTTTTTGTGACCAGTCAAGCAAAATCAGTGGGAAAGTTAGATTCACTTAACCATGTCACTAACTTAATGACTAAATTGATTCATTTAATAACTGACAAGAAAAGTCATAAAATGGGTCAAAATTCACTGAACTGCGTGCAATTTTGCTTAGCAATAGAAATTTTGAGCTTAATTGTGGTTATAAATGGAGCACTACCTATACATGCCAGTTGCCAAGCATTCAAATTTGGTTATATGATCATGGGGATACTGTAATGATATATGTCAGACATGTCAAACTCAAGGATGTGGTTAGATCTGGCCAAAAGGCCACTCTGGAGGCACGTGCACAGGAGGCATTGAGCGCACAGGGGCTAGCGTCCCTGGTGAAAGGAAGTGCTGACGGGCTGTGGGACCAGTGGGCAAGGCCGAGACACTTGGCAGATACTGCTGGGCTCCACACGCTGATATACAACTTTGTGGTAGCCACCCTGGCCGGAACACAGCCTGCGGGGCAAAACAGCACAACCCGCAAGCACTTTCCTTTCATCAGGTTGGCTCCTGCCCACCACATGGGGAAGCCATTGCCACCCTCTGCTCGTCCTGTCCTGGGCGGGTGAAGGAAGGAGAGAGAGATGAGAATGAGAAAGGAGGGGAGGTGGGGATGGAAGGAAGGAGGGGAATTGGAATGAGTAGGAGGGAGGGTCTGAGGGAAGGAGGAGGGGGGGGAAATGGAATGAGTAGGAGGGAGGATCTGTCCTCCTCCCCTTGCCCTCCCCTCCTAGTGGTCTCCCATCCTATCGCTGAGGATACTTTGCTTACAAAGCCGGGTCTCTTCTCATGGAGAGGGAGTGGGCCTCCCTCTGACCCATGCAGTTTGCCCTCCCGCACCCACCATGAGCAACCTGGCCAAAGAGAGCAAGCACATCAGCAGCAGCCTTGAGGATGAGGTAAGTGCTCGGGGAAAGTGGGGCTGGGCTGGGCTGCGGGATCCTGGTGGCCTGGGAGCTCAAGGGCCACAGTGGACGCTTACCCTCTGCTTGCCCAGGGCTCCTGACAGCCTGCACTGCTGTCTGGGGTCCTCCATGTGGCCTGAGAGGGACAGCAAGGCTCCTGGTGGATGGGGCTTTGGTGCTCGTCCTGGTCTCACCTTCCTTTGCTGGAGACTGCCAGATTCCCCCCCTCCCAGCCTTGCCTGGCCCTCCACAGGAGGTGGAGGACAGTGCTGCTGTGTGGAAGCACGTAGAAGAAAGGTTGCAGGAAGCCATTTCCTTCAAGTCCAATTTCTGCCTTGACAAATCTCTTGGAGGGCAAATTGCACAATGGGGGAGTTGATTGAGGGAAGGCTGCCCCAACAAGCCAGCATCCTTACCACACACTTATTGGAAACAGGGATTCCCTTTTGAGAAGGTCCAGCTTCATGCGGGACTAGGGAGTGCTGCTCCCCTGCCACCACCTCTTGCTCTCCAGAGATGTCAAGATAGAAATTGGGATTCAGAGGAAACTGCTTCCTGCAAAAAATTTTCCTCTGCACTTCCATATGTAGCAGCAGCAGCAGCAGCAGCCACCTCCTGCTTTGCTGGGAGAGGGCACCAGACAGGGAACACCAATGATATCTGGGATTGGGAGAACACCTCATTTGGCATTCTGTGCACATGCGCGCACACACATTCCACACACACATACCATTCCAAGCTTGGAGACTTAGCTATATTTGAGCTTGCAGACTGCCAATCATGCCTGGGCTTGGGGAGAAGGCCCTCTCCTTTCTCTGTGGATAAAAATCCCCAAATTTAGAATGGCTGCCAGCAGTTTGGGAAGGTGAGAGCCTGTGGGTACCAAATTGTCCTCATGTCAGGTTAGCCAATGTGACTTTTCTGTCCCAACCCAAGTCATGGCAGCCCAGCTGTGACCATCTGGCCACGTCCATCTGGCTACTGTGAGTTGTCATAGTCTTTTGGACTGAATAATTGTAAAATTAACATAGGGGATAGATGCATGAAAATGAAATGATGAGATTTGGTCATCTTTCATATGCAATTATTTCAAAAATCTCTTCAAACTTGATGTAACCAGTGATTCAATTGAATTACATCTTTTGGTTACAATTACATTTTGTTTTGCTAGTAAGCTTGGTCATTACTCTGTGAAGTTAAGTTGAAATTTTTATTGTTTGTCTAAAATTTTATATTTTAACAGTGCAGAAATACCACACAATCAATGGACATAATGCAGAAGTAAGAAAGGCTTTATCAAGGCAAGAAATGCAAGAAGTTCAAAGCTCAAGGAGTGGGAGGGGAGGTATGTTTGAACTGTATTATATTTAAATTAGTTATTTTTAAAAATAGTATTAGAGGTAATTTTTAAAAAACATTTTCAGGTAATTTTGGCTTTGGAGATTCACGTGGAGGTGGTGGAAACTTTGGTCCAGGACCAGGAAGCAATTTCAGAGGTGGATCTGGTAAGTCAGAAAATCACTCATGATAAACACTTTCTAATATCTTCCGTTGCATATTTTTGATCCAGGACTTCATAAGATTAACAGCTAAAACTAAATCCTCGCAGCTAAGCAGACTTTGAATGTTTTATTTGATTCATAATGAAGGAAACTTAAAAATGTTTTTTCCCACAGATGGCTATGGAGGTGGTCGTGGATTTGGTGATGGATACAATGGATATGGAGGGGGACCAGGGGGTTAGTATTCTGAAGTTGAATATTCATAATAGTCATTCTTTGTCTAAAATCTATTGTAGGTCATGCACATATTGTCTAATATAATTTGATAATTCTTCTGTTAATAAGTTCTGTTCAGTTTTATACACGTATAAATACTGATAGAGAGCTAGTTTGGCGTAGTTGGGTACTGTGCTAGGAACCAGAAGGCTATAAATTCTAGTCCTGAATTAAGCATAAAGCCAGACAAATGATTTTGGGCCAGTCATTCATTGTCAATCCTAGGAAGAAAGCAAACTAACCAACTTAAAATGTTGCCAAGAAAATGGCGTGGACTGGTCTAGTTGCTAGAAGTCAAGGCTCATTTGAAATTAATGTAAATATATTATAAATATTGTTATATATTATTACATATTGCAAGTATTCCAACAAGCAATAATTGCATTGCTCATCCAAGGCATAGACACTGTTATCATAAATTTACCTCAATAACATATGAAAAAATTGCGTATTATAATATTGATGTAAATAGTTTAGTATCAAAAGACAGATTTCTGTAACCAACCAGTGGAATATGGATGTAAAAATACTTCAAATAACAATAGATTTGACAGCAAAATTCAAATATGGGGGAAAGAGCACCAATTCAAAGCTAGATTTGCAGCCAAAACCTCTTGGTCAGAAGCTATTCATGAGATATTATTTCTAATTGAAAGCAGGACTAAAAAGACATTACTGCCCACAGGCAATAAATCTATAGCCAGAGAAAAAAGCCCTCTATTTGGAATTTTCCAAATAAGTTCCAAATTGTCTAATTATACTTATTGAGATTAATGTAATTGCTATCTTAAGATGATTTCATTTGTAGATAGCTATACTACAAGCATATTTATGTAGTTTTACATTATAACAGGTGGCAATTTTGGAGGCAGTCCTGGTTATGGAGGAGGAAGAGGTGGATATGGTGGAGGAGGACCTGGGTACGGCAACCAGGGTGGGGGCTACGGAGGTGGATATGACAACTATGGAGGAGGTAATGATTATTTAAACATTTGAAATGAGAATAGTTTCCTAAACTAGTTAAGAAATATGTATTGATCTTACCTAAATTTCAAAAAACATATTGGCATGACTTTTCACAAAACAATGGTCCAGCTGCTGTTGGGACACTTCTCAACTGTGGCAGGCACCATGCTGGCAGCCCATGCTGCTGGCCTAGTGTGGGCTCTTTTTACCCTGGCAGGATGGATGGAATCCGGGGTGTGCCAAGAGCTTGGCCCTGATTGAGGCCACAGGAAAGCAGACAGTGGAACAGAGGGCAAAGCCAGTGCTTTCTGCCCAAACACTTTGCCCAGAAGGAGATGAAGCTTCATCTGCTTGAAAAGGGGACGCTTTGAAATGGAGTGATTAGTTCCATTTCAAGATGTTCACTTTGCATGTAGCCAGAGCTTCATCTCTGGATGAAAAGTGTGCATCAGAGTCAGGTAGAGGCAGAGGCGATTCCAATGCGCGCCCATTCCGTCCCACCAAGCTTACTTGCAGCTGCACTGACCAGATGCCCACACAACTGCATGCCTTGCCTGCTGTCAGTGCCACTGCATGAACCTCCCATGAGTTAGGCAGCCACACAGCACTTCTGGATCACCTGTCTTTCTCCTGCAGCTTCCATGCCTGGACTTACCGATATTTTCTCTGCATCAAGGGGCCGGCAGGCTGTGGTGGCTGCCAAACATCATCAGCCCCACATGCTCACTGCCTTCCATGCTGGTCACTCCCATCCCTAGCTTATTTTTGGAAAGGGCTTATATTAGCCCACCCCAAAAGATCAGGTTTCTTGTTAAAAGCCGGTGTCTTCGCTTGTTTACACCTTGTATTCACATTAAGGTTATCTTTGAAATGAGCAAAATACTTCTTTATGCAGGCAATTATGGAGGTGGGAATTACAATGACTTTGGAAACTATAACCAACAGCCTTCAAACTATGGTCCAATGAAAAGTGGAAATTTTGGTGGAAGCAGGAACATGGGAGGACCATATGGTGGAGGTAACATAGAACAAAAAGTATCTTCTGATTTCTTAGCATTTGTGTTGATTTTACTACCAAAACAGAACAAATTAGGTAGATCTATTTTTCTAAGCTGCTCTTTTCTGTTAATGTAAGCCAACAGGTTTGCTCTATCTTCTGAAATGAAGTTCCTCCCAAGATTTAAGCAGTCGCCATTCTATGTATATTTTATACCCCTAAATTTTATTCAGTAGGAAATACGCAGAATTCGACAATCCTAAACATTATGTATTGTTATTTTTAATGCTTTGCTTGATTAATTAAAATTATTAGAGATACTTGTGCTTGTTTAGACCATTTAGTTCTAGAAACATATTTGTAGAATTAAATGTTCACATAAAATGTTCATATATCTGGGCCTATGTGATATTTGAAAAGGGAATATTATAATTGACAAGTATCAAAATGATACTAAAATGAAAGTGTATTTTACAAGTTTTGGGTAATAACTTGATTGATCAAATAGAATAAATGGAATGCTTTTTAGCAAGCAGCAATCTGACAATTTTAACAATCTTAGAGATTTGGCAAAATAAATTGTTTAGTGGAAAGTTCTGTTACTAATTGTTTTCTGTTTTTTACTAACTCAGGAAACTATGGTCCTGGAGGAAGTGGTGGAAGTGGGGGATATGGAGGGAGGAGTCGTTATTGAACCTCTGTAAGCTTTTCATGGGTGAGTGTACATTTAATATAAAATTGCAGTTTTTCTTAGTTTTAGCTGCAGGGGTAAAAGCTTTTTAGGGTCATATTATCTTTCCTTTAAAAAGACAATTGGGATAACTTCATAACCTATTTTTTTACTCTTTACTTCTGTTGAAACAGGCTTCACTGTATAAATAGGAGAGGATGAGCCCAGAGGTAACAGAACAGCTTCAGGTTTTCGAAATAACTTTGTTAAGGAAACACTTATCTCAGTCATGCATAAATATGCAGTGATATGGCAGAAGACACCAGAGCAGATGCAGAGAGCCATTTTGTGAATGGATTGGATTATTTAATATCATACCTTACTGTGGAGGAAGGATTGTAAAAATGCCTTTGAGACAGTTTCTTAGCTTTTTCATTGTTGTTTCTTTTTAGTGGTCTTTGTAAGAGTGTAGAAGCATTCCTTTGATAATGTTAAATTTGTAAGTTTCAGGTGACATGTGAAACCTTTTTTAAAAAAATTTCTCTAAAAGTTTTGAAAAGCTATTAGCCAGGATCATGGTGTAATAAGACATAACGTTTTCCTTTGAAAAAAATTTTAAGTACGTGTGTAGAGTTAAGAAGCTGTTGTACATTTATGATTTAATAAAATAATTCTAAAGGAAATGTTGTGTAATTATAGATTTATTTAAAATATATTGTAAATTAAGGCAAGGAGTGGGTAGTAGAAGGTCCCACAAATACTATAAATTTGTTGTTGTACATGTAATATGTTGGTTAGATAATGTTTTTTGTAAATTACCAGATTAATACATAGATAACTTAAGGGATATCTCTGCAAAGAGAAACACCTTTTTAGATCTTTTAGATGCTGCTTCTTCAATGGCAAGTAAAGGAAATATCCCCAGCGAGGTACTCTTCCAGGGACACAGGTCTAGTGCAAAAGAACTCTTGAGAACGGCAATTAAGTTCAGCCAGTCTTAAAAGCTGTGCTGTACTTCTCCAAAACTTTAACTACAGTAGTTTTAAGGATGCCAACGAGAGCTGAGGGTTCTAGAGAAAAATAGTTCTAAGCTTCAGTTAAACCACTTTAGGTAAGATCTTATTTACTTTTACTTTTTTTAATATTCCAAAAACAAGAAACTATTACTATATGACAGTGTACTGTTTCAGTATAGTGGTTATATTATCTAGTTTAACATAGCAATGAACCAAGTTAATAATTGTGCACTGGAAAAATTTCTTGTTTTGATTTGGGGGTTTGGGTATTTACTCTGTTTTTCATTTGTTGGTTGGTTTCAATTTTTGCTGTTATATTTTGATTTATTTTTAACTTCAGCTGCTTAACCTATCTTTTCCCTACTGGAATCTAGCTTTATACACCATGGACAAGCAATAGACCTGCTGAACAAATGAACCAGCCAAGTGTCTAATGATTTGCAAGGGTTCCATCCCTGCTATGGGTAGTTAAAATGGTATGTCGCAGCTTTTTAAAATGGTACAATATCTTGTTTTACCCATTATATATTAAAACCTGAAGTTGAAAACTATGGCTCTTCAGAATAGGACAATTGCATATCTGTTCTTCGGTACAACATATTTTAGTATCACAGAATTTGTGTTTGAATTTTATGTGTGAAAGTGAAGTTTATGCAGAATTTGCATACAGAGTTCTTCCCCTCACTGGTCTTGTCAACACTATATAGCAATATGAATTTAGAGAATTGAAGTGTCATGTGGTATTCAAATTCAGCTAGCTTACAAAAGTTTCCATTGCGTATATTCTAACACTGCACAATGTAAAATTATTCTGTTATTGAATGCTGTAATTACCTTCAATACGATGGACATGGAATTTTTTTTTACTTAGAGGGATATTCTGTTTAATATAAATTAAGGTTTTAATTCCAGAATCTTCAGTTTTTAAATACTCTTATATTACCCTTTTAAAAATTCTATTTTGCTTTGTACAACTTTTGCACACTTAAAAGCCTGGCCTTGCCTCATCTATTTTCTAGCCATTTGCTGAATTTTTTCCTGTGATACAAAGAGGCTTCTGATAAACTTCTTCAGATACTTTCTTTTTCTTTGGCAGGAAGGTGCCAATGCTGCAGGTAACTAATGAAGAAGTGGTCAACCACAGAAACTTCAAGAAATAAGATATTTCTTTTCTCTTCACAAAATAGTTGGTTTTGCTGGTTTTTATTAAACCCTTTATAGTTTATGGTTTCAGTTGCAGCCTATTGTAATTTAGTCAAAGCTTTACAAAATGAAAGGTACACTTTTTCTAAAGTTCAGACTCACAGGAAATCAAGAATAATGTAAATATTTGACTTTTATAAGTGTTATAATAAAAACTTTTGTTTAAAAATATTCCTAGTCTGATACAATATTACCATTTTATGAACATCCCAAATGATTAAAAAAACCAGTTCTTCAATGCAGTGTGGACTGTACCAAATTACATACTTGCGGCATCATTGTGCGTACTATTATACTGCTATAAGAAATGGAAAAATAGCACAAAATTGGCACTAAGAAGAGAGGAAATACTATGCTTAACTACAGAGTTTTCGGGATCGTATCTATCCATTTATCTTCCTTTATGCCCAGTGACTGCAGCATAGTATAACCTAAGCATAGAAGAATGAAGAAACAGCTGTAGAAATAATTCTATAAAAGTCAAATATAACTGGGAAATACTACAGCATCCTACAAAATGGGACATATTGTCCCTTAGCATCTTAAGGCAGAGGTTACTTTTTTAGCATCTAAAGAAAAATACTGCCAATACTGCTGGGGAAAGCAACAATATTCTGAAAAGGTGCTTAAGAATTCAGTGAAAATCAATAAACTGTAAGAATCTAGTTACAAAAATGAGTTGGGCAAAATGGCTGGTAATTTTATTTGTATCCTTATGTTTAGTACATAATACAATATATACAATAGCAACTGCAAAAACATTAGGTGTAACGCATGGAAATACCAGTGTTATTAAGAATGTATTTAGCTGATAATTCTGTCTTCCATCACTGTTTAAGAACTAAAAATTTAAATCAGTAAGATTTGTAGAAGATAATACTTCCAATTTTTTCAGTACATTTTGAAGTATGGGATTCTTATGGATAGGAAAATAAAATAAGTGGAATATAGTTAATTTGGTCTTTGAAGGTAATGATAGAATAATTGCATACAGTAGAAGCTTCTGACCACGACCAAATCGGCTTCCAACCAAAATGTTCACAAAATTTTTGAATCTGGTCATGAACAAATACTTGGGTGATGATCAAACACGACCCCTGACCCAGAAATTCCTGAAGATGAAACACTAGTACACAAAGAAATCGCCAAACTTATGGAACAAATTATGGTTGTGACCAGAGGCTCTATGTATGCCCATTATGAACTCTAATTCTTAAGGCATATTTTATTAAAAAGACTGAAATAAATGGCTGTATTAACATTCTTAGGTACAAGGCTGGTACTTGACTTAAGATAGTTCTTAAGATTGGATGCTTTTGCAACTGCAACAAATATTTTAAAATTGGGCACATTCATAAGATGACTTGCTTAACAACCAGCATGACTTAATTTGTGAGCTCAATTAAGGTCATAGCTTTGTGTTTTATATAAAATATTTTCTCAAACAATATAGGAATCTTAAGCAGATTGGAAATGATGCTTGCAAAATCATCAGTGTTTTTACCAGAGATACATTTGTATAAAACAGCTAAACCAGTACAGCCTAGGTAAATACTTATTGGTTCACTGGGCTATGTATTAACAATATTATACAAATTAACATTGGGATTAGGAAGGAACATCCTCCCCCCCCCCAACAAAAAAAAAGTAATAACATCTGTAAATTTGTATAAATTGTATAAATACAGAAGCTCGGTTTTCTGTAAAAAGTAATTCTGTGCTGTTTCTTGTAGTTTATTTTATTCAGTATACAAATACAAGCTCTTGCATTTCCGTGCGTACAAATTCATGCTCATGGAATCTATGGGTAGAATTGTAATGTTAACATCTCAGGAACTTCCCTAATGTAAAATACAGTGCTATGTATGCTAATGTATAGAAATATGACACATATTGTAGTATGTGCACTTTGTTATGATAACGCTTCCAAATACCGTATTTTTTGCACTATAAGATGCACTTAGCTTTTGGGGAGGAAAACAAATCTGCCTTTGCCTCCCAGCAGTTTTCCTCCTTACAGCAAACAGCCTGGTCAGCTTCAGCACAGCCTAATTTAGCACTAACAGCTGATTGGTGTTTGGATCAGCTGTTCCAGTCTGCAGGGATCATCTCCACGTGTCCCATTTTCAACCTCCAAACATCCCATTTTTGGCTTGATGGCAATAGCCACTGCTTGGAATGGGCCGAAAATGGGGCACATGGAGGCGGCGGTGGTGATCCCCACAGCCTGGAATAGCTGATTGTCAGTATGGGAGGCCAATCCAACCGCCAATCATCTGCTCATGCTAAATCAGACTATGCTGAACAGCAAGGAGGCAAATTGGAGGCCGAGGTTGAAGGGTGGGGACTGGAGGGTTGGTGGGGCTTCAACATTTGCTCTATAAGACGCACAGACATTTCCACCCACTTTTTGTGGGGGGGAGAAATGCGTCTTATAGTGTGAAAAATACGGTAAGTAGCAGATGTAGCATTTAGGCTATAGCATCAATTGGGATTGGAAATTCTGTTACTGAGTGATGCAATCCTAAAGCATCATAACACGAGGATTCTTCATGTGTTAAGCAATGGCATGATTGCTGGGGGACACTGGTGCTGCATAGTACAGATGGGTGAAGTAGCTAGAGGGAGTATGGAATGTTGCAAATGGCAATTATATGACCATGGATCACCAACCATAAGTACATGCCAGTTGTCAAGTGGCCAATTTTTGATAACATGACCATGGGATGTTGTGAGGATTATGTGAGGATTGGTCAGAGGTCACTTCAGTGCTGCTGTAACTATAAATTGCAAATTGAGGACTGTCTACACCCTGGAAATGAATAATACACCCTTGATTTGAAAAATTATCTATAACCAACTCTTGTAAAAGTGAGACTTAACTAGCTGAACATGGAAAGTAAAGCAAATATTTGTCAGAAAGAGTGGGAGTCTAGCTCATATACCTCAGCCCCAACTGCCAATAGCTAGTGAAGGCCTGCATGGTTACTCTTAGGAACACCCATTGTCTTGTACATGAAAAGCAGTGATATTTTTTATTTTTAAAAGCTCCCTTATCTGCAACTAGTGAAATTGCGGGTGATATGATTTTTTGTGGTCATGCACATTAACATCCGTATTCATGCGCAAGCTGAATAAATTATACTGAACAAATATAAAATGGGTTTAGTCTATTTTTAAAGTTACCTAGGTTGAAATTCTTTAAAACAGTAAAATTAGGCAAGGAATACAATTCAAGTTTTTCTTCTGGCTTCTTACAAATGCAATCCTTAAGCACGATTTTAAATTTTCGCCTATCATAATTGTTTCAGTTTGGGGACTCCTGGTTGATTTCTGTTTTAGGTAAGAATAATATAGTACAATTTCCACAACACTGAAGGGCACATTGGCTTGTATTAATTGTTCCTTGGTCATCTCTCAATTTACTGAAAACGTTCCAGCAAAGATCATTCAGTTTTTGTTTTATATTGCGAATTGACCTTTTGTATTGTGCTTTCTGTTTCTCAAGCTTTTCAGTCTGCTTCTGAAGACGATACACTTCATCTTTCAGGTTCATAATTGCATCTAGTTTACGTTTACGGCAGTTTTGAGCAGCAACTTTGTTTTTTCCTCTTCGTCTTATATCACGAATGAGTGACCGTTGATTATCTGTTAGGTAGTAGTTTGATAACATGCTATTAAAAGATGCTACAGGCAAGGTCACTATATCATAAACAGAGAATGGAATTTTCAGGGGGTTTGCCTGGTATTCACAATTTTGATTTGTATCATTTTCATTTTCAGTTCTTTTGGATTCTTCTGGCCATCTTAAGTAATCCTCTGATACTGAGAATGTCAGCTGTTGTAAATCCTGATTGTATGTATGATCATGGAATATACCTACTAGTAATTTTGTCCCATAGTCATAATTGCTTTGATGCTTTGTATGGCAATATTGTAAGCAACCATCTCTTACAGCTACTGAATCATTTGATATGCCAAAGTTGGCATCCTTGTCAGAAGACAATACAAGGGATGCATTACTGTAATTTAAGTCTAAAGAAAGTCCAGAATCTGAATCTCGTTCTTCAAAATGATAGGTTTCTGCAAAGTCAAAATTTCCTTCCATGGTTAATGGCATGAAATGTATTTTCTCATATCCATTTTCATTCAGGCTGAAAAAGAAATCTTGGTTTGTAAGACTTGTGCAGCAATGATCATTTGCAAATAATTCTAACATGTTGGTCTCGTTCATTGGAGATGTATTTAAGTTGGGTAAAATCTCTAGCCTGTCCACGTCTGTTACATTAGTGTGATCTGATCCCATCACTGTGGCATCGTGAAGGCTCACATCATGACTAATCGCTTGGGCTAAATCTGTAGGGATCTGATGAAAGTTTGTCAAATTCACATTTTCACTGTTGCTTGCTTGTTTCTGAAAGGGTGTAAAAAAAAGTTTGTTAAAGGTGAATCATGTAAGTCATTTGAAAAAATTACCAGGTTGAACATAGGTTCAAAGGTGTTTTAGAACAGATAATCACAGTTATTTTCAAAGGAATCCTTGGTCTATTACCACGTCTTTGCTACAGGACTGCAGTGTATTCAAGATCAACAAACACAAAACATCGTTTTTTTTATTCTCTTGATGAAATTGACATGCCGTATTTGTACCTGTCGTGCTGAAATTGGTCTGTATTGGGGACTGCATTATGACCAGTATTCAGCATAGCGACTCTTCGGCTCTGGCTTCTGCAGCAAAAGATTGTCGTGAAAGCAGGTGTTGGCAACCCACGGCTATGGAGCTGCATGTGGCTTTTTAATTCGTCTGCTGAGGCTCCCTGTTGCTCAAAATGTGCCTCAACTGTCAATGTGCAACACGATTTACTGAGCTTTCTAACCCCCGGTCGGCCAACCCTGCCTGGATAAATCTAAGGACAAAAATTGCAGAAGAAAATGTTTAATGGTACACGGGCAGATCAGATCCATTTGCTTTCATTGCTGATGAGACTGGTTCACCAGTATACTTAATACGTGGTGAGAAATTGGCAAACAAAAAGTCAAATGGTTCAAGACATTTCCAGAATAAAAACAGCCTTTGCTGAAAATATCAGGATGGAGATGAGAAAAAAAAAGCCATTTTGGAACTGATGCGGAAAGTTGATCTGAGCAAAAGTTTCAAGAAATGGATGAAATCTGCAAATTCAACTACATGTGCTAATTTGTTGGCTGCTCAAAAGATAGGCACCGGAAGCCGTTCACAAATGGAGATACATAAAAGAATCATGATTTCAATACACCCACTGGACTTCAAAAACGAGTGAAATTGTGCAGAAAAATAGATATGCCTCTGCTGTGTTGAGGTTCAGGAGCAAAAATCACATTAACCCACCAGTGTGCATGATAAAAGGATGATGGCACACAGAAATGGACAGCATTTTGTTTGCTGCAGGTGGATAATTTAACTTTGGCTTTATTTCATAAATATGAGGACTCAAATAGACATTGAGTATTTTATTTCAAAGTAATCTTCAATCCAGTGTCCTTTTTGGGGTGTTCAAAATGTTTTTGTTGCATGCAGAAATAAAAATTTGTTTACTCTGCAGTTGTGCGTTGATTTCATAAATATAATTTTATACCTAGCATAAAGGTAGTGTTAGAGTAAAAGTTTTAGATACCAAAAGGGTTTTGTGGCTCCCAGTGTTTTCTGTGGGAAACAGTCCAAATGGCTCTTTTGAGTATTTAAGGTTGCCACACCTGGACTAAAGGATTTAAAGCAGTATGTGTCACATTCCTCTGGTTAAAAACATTGGCAAATAAATGACCATGACTTAACAGGTGCAATTCGGGGAGCAAAGTTTAACTTATAAAATTCCTCAAGAAGGGTTGCGTTTGTTGAACTGTCCATCTCCAATTATGTCTCACTTATGGAAGTGGGATCAGAATGTAGGAAGGTATCCAGAATGTAGGTATCTCCAGATCCCCTGAATCAGGATTGCCATCTAATCAGTCCAAGGAGTGCTTTTTATCTTATAGCATCTCCCTATTTATAGGATAGCCCACTCCTTGACATTCAGGTAGCCCTAGAGCAGGCACTTTGCTGAAGTTTGGATCTAGGTAATGGGTAAGCCTATTTATTTAGCACAACGGGCTATTTGGGTTTGTTTTTAATGGTTATTGAATGTTAGCAGCCCAGACTTCAGTGTCAGTTAAGTCATTAAGTCATCCAACACTTCGTGACCCTCTGAACTATAGCACACCAGAACTCACATTCTTCCACTATCTCCTGGAGTTTGTCCAAATTCATGTGCACTGTGTTAATATTAACCATTACATTCTCTGCCATTCCCATCTCCTTTTGCCTTTAATCTTTCCCAACATCAGGGTCTTTTCCAATTGCTTATTTGTTGGCGGAAATATTTGTGCCATTAGTCCTTCCAAACAGCCAAGGTTGATCTTTAGGATTGTTTGATTTGCAGTCCCAAGGAGACTGAAGAGTCATCTTCACCACAATTAGAAAGCATTAATTCTTCAGGAAAACCATAACTTCGTCTATCAATTAGATGGCCATAAAATTTAATTAAAAAGACCTCCATATTTGGGGCATGAACACAAACTATAAACCTCATTCTGCCTTTAGATCCCATATGAAAAGGAAATAATGGTAATAGTGGCAGCTAATTTTAATACAAAATTTTCCGCCTATCAGGATCAGCTAGACAAAACAGTTTGATCCAATGTAATAAGAATTGTTAGACAAAGAATTGTTAGAGCTTTGGAAACTGCTGCTTTCAACTAGCATATATTAAAATAAGTTACATAATTGTCTTTGAGATACTTCATAACATTAGGCCCTAATTTTCACATTTGTTCCAAAGTAATCTCAGGTATATTAACTGGAAAATAACCTAATGAGTAAAAAGAGTCAATAGTACTGTGATTATGCAAAACAAAATGGTACACACCAAAATTGCTATGTCTCCAAAAATAATAGGCTGCTTAAAGCTGAAATGAGAATAGCAAAAGAAAAAACCCTGTTGGGGCCAATATGCTGACTAAGCTGCTTAGAACTGAGAAGCACTTTGAAGCAGTACATAAGTCTAAGTGCAATTGCTATTATGCAAAGCCATAGGTTTCTAATTTTTGGCTTGGTACGAAATAAAAGCCTAGCGACTGGGATTTGAAATATTAAATGAATCCTGCTGATGTGCAAGTTTCTTAAATTCACTAGCAATGAGCATGTTAACTAATGATTTATAATGTTTTATTGCTTTTATTGTTTGTATTACCATTTCATCTTAAATATATATTACCTGTTATTCTGTTAGGGACTTAACCTGAAAACAATTCGCTTAACAGACTAAATGAATTCAATCTCATTAGCAACCTAGAAATTACACAACTCATGTAAAAAATTATCACATCTGTTAGCTATTACACAATATATACTAAGCCACTGGACAAACTGGCTATTTAATAAATAAACATCACTTTCAGAAGAAAAAGCAGGATGTAATAATCTTAAAGCAATAGAATAGGGACAAATGTGCAGACTAGAGATTCTCAGTTGTCCAAGTGCATCCAAAGAAATGTCTGGCTGTCTGCAAGGAATATAAATCTTTCCATCCTCCACCATCCAGTCAGAGCTGAAAAAGCTTAAATGAGTGAAAAATTTAGAAGTCCATTTGCCTTCTGAAAAAGCACTTTGGGACAACAGGGACAAATGTGCTTGCTTTACAAAATGCATCATTTTTAAATTTTAGTTAACTTGGTTATTTAAAAAAAAAACAATACAAGATTTTAAGCCAGCTACTTGCAACATTTTAAAAAATGGTTAAAAGTTAATATAGAAGAAAAAAGAGAAGTACATTTTCAAATTATTTAATGCCCCTTTTATCAATTATCTTTTTTCTACTTTCCCTTTTCTATTATGTTTCCCTCTCCCGAAACCGTGCTGGAGATTAGCATGCAAATGCAGTAATATTTGCTATGATAAATTGCAAGAAGGAAGAATAGGGTTATTCCTTATTCTCACCAAGGAGATAGAAGTGAGATTCTCCCTCTCCTTCCAATTAACTTGTTCATTCTTATCAGACTCTTCTTGTTTTTCTTCCTCTTGAGTTTCTGAGTGCTCATTTTTCTTTGGTAACAAATAGCAGTATTCCAAATATCCCTGGCCTCCTTTTAAATCTAAAACCTATAAATGGAATAAAACAAAATTATAAAAGATAATTTTTCAGCACTGCAAATCTGATTATCACTAATACTTGAAAATTAAAAGTATAATGTGCAGTCTCCTTTAAGCAATAGTTTACTAATTCTACTGACCATCCCTAACATTTTGGTTAGAAAATTAAAAAGTGTTTTATTTAATAATGTTCTTTATATAAAAGGACCCAGACATTTCATATATTTATGGTGAGTAATCTAAACTTTAAAAAGCCTTTTACATATCTAGATCAGAACTTAACGCTTTTTTCATGCTCTGCACTAATTAATTTGTTGACTCCATAATTAAGAAAACTTAAGGAAAAGTATAGCCCCTGACATCTGTTAAGATGCTAGAATGGCTTCCTTGTCTATAGGTATTCAATAGACTTAATATGGCTCTTCACCTACAAGAGATATCCATGGTATGATACCCTACAGCTATTGTGGGCTTTTAAAGCCCTAAAGAATAATCAATTGGGCCACAATAAGAAAGTTTTCTTCTAGGTATGCAGAAGTTCTGATCTCCCTGTGCTGTCCAATTAGGGATACGTATCAGAATTCCTTTAGCTGCAGCTACCAAATCATGGAGTGCACTTCTAGAGCTTCAAAAGAACAATGTGACAAAACTTGGTTCCCTTTTGCAGGAGAAATAAAACTATTATTTTTATATTGTTAGGATTTCCTATGACTTTTTAACATGTTCAGCTTGGAAAGTAGGAATATTTAAAATTAACCAATCAGAAAATATAATTGAATTGCTTTTATGTATGTTTTTTGATAAGAATCTGTATGATCGAACAGAATGTTAGAAGCTATGTCTCAAATAAGCAATGAAGATTTTCTATCCCTTTTTCATCAGTCCAGTTTAAATTCTCATGAAAAGTTGGTAGATGGAAAAATTACTCATCTCTTTAAAAATTACTCATCTCTTGCACCACTTGAAAGATTGCTGTAGATTAAAGTGGAGAAACTTGTTTTACAGCTTACTGTAGAAGCAAACCGAGCCAAGTAAATACTTGTTCAAATGTCATTACATCAGGTAAAAATGTTTTTAAAAATAGTGTACAATTTACATAAAATCTTTATAATTTAAAATCTACATTAATACTTTATACTAAATCTACATTAATACTTTATACAAAATCTGATTTCTTGGAAAGTTCCTATAATATATGATTTTTTAAAAAACTTTGGAAATTGGATTTTCTTTATTATACTTGAAGTAGAATATGTGTCAAAATGTTTAAATGGGATGGAACAGTACAATGTAAAAGCAATATGTCTTAGGGGACTTTTGCATGACTATTTTCTTGGTAAGAATTACAATAGCTAGCCTAATGTATAATTCAGTATAAATTCAGAACAGAACATAAATGATAAATCTATTACTGATGAAAATGGTTTTAGGTTTACAGGACAACTCAATAGAAATAAAAATAAAAATTCAAAGCTCATGTAGAATGGTCAAATATTTGTACAAAATTACTATACTGTACATTTAAATTTAAATATACATTTAAATATAAAAGATTACAACAGATACCAACCTAGAGATATGACAGACATTCCATTTTGCACTAATGGATGACTGAAATTACACTGAAAATACTTTTTTCCCCATCTACTAAACAGCCTTTTATATTGTAAAGATTACTTTTTGAAACCTTACTAAATAAAGCATGCCCCTTTGTGCAGAAAAATTCTGCAAACATTCTGAATTCTTTTATCAAGAAATTAAATAGAACTAAATAATAGGGGCAAATAATAGCCAGATTTTGTGTTTATTGACTAGTTGATTCAAACTTCTGATGGTGCATTCATCACTATTCTTGATAACTTTGCCTCAAGATTGAAATAAGCTGACATTGCAACCTTTTTATCTATTCTTTCCTATTGTAGGTCTAGACAACCAAAACTTAGAATCACACACACATAAAATCGTTAATATTACACATCAGATAGACTTGCGTGTTACAACAGTGGGTTTCTTTATAGAAATCTTTCAGACCTAGCAACTATACAGCTTTTTTAAAGCCCATTTTAATATTCTATCTCAGGCTTCTTTAATAGTGGATTTCACAAAATCACGTTTAGCAAGATAAATTGTCTCTGTGGCCAGAGTGAATCTCAAATCTTAGTGTACTAAACCTTCAATGAGATCTTACACCATAATATATCTGTGTACCAATTTCAATCAGAAATCAAATTTTATTTTTTTATCATCATAATCCTGGTATTCTAAACATACCAAATTCTTATCAGCACCTACTGCTCTAAGAAGATTTAAGATGTTGTAATCTTGGAACAATATCACATTCTTTCGTCTTAATTCTATTTTTATCTAATTTGTTTTGTTCTATTTTGTCTACTGTTTATTTCTGTAAATTTTAACTGCCAGGTCTATATAGAGATTTGTTCATTTTATTGTGTTTTTATTGTTACAGCTATTTCACTTATCATTGACCATAGATAAATACAATTTCAAAATAGCAGGGAAGGTAGGAGGTCATTTTTTTCTGGGGGGAAATGCAAATAAAGAGACTGACTGTTTCCCATGTTACTTGTTAACTTGGAAAAATAAGCATGTGTAAGAATGTGCCCCTAACTTGAAAAGGCAGTACTTGGCATTTCACATGTCCTTGAAATGCATTGTTCTGGCATCTACTGGTTTATAGTATAGAATAGCAAAACCTGGCCCAATTTAAAAGATGGTTCATGTTCTGCACAAGTTCTTATTTTTAAATATCAGTCTCTCTCAATTCCAAACATGATTTCATTATTATTTATTCCATATAGTATCTTTCCATTGGAAATAAATATCTTAACTGTGGTAGAATTTATTTCTGCAAACTTATAAAGGATTTGTTTGACTCTAAAATAGGTAAACCTGGATTCATGTTTTCTCTAAAACAAAAGGAATGCAGGGAAAAGGAAGTAAAGATGCCCCTTTGACAGCAGGTTTCAGCACAGAGACACTTGAATGTAACATCCAAAGTCACATCTAACCATTTTGGCATCACTCTGATATATTTCAGGCAAATAATAAGTTGCCACACCACTTTATCACAAGCACATTATAAATTCAAGAATCTCTTCAAGACCTAATCCTGAATACAGCCCAAATACATGTCAGTGAAGGAAGAACAGCTTCTGAACATGTACAGACTAGCCTTAACAAATAAAGGAGTAGAGTAAGTTGCTTCATCTCCAAGCCTTCAAGACAGGATAAATTTTCAAATCTCATAATCAACAGGTTGCTTGTCATTCTCAAGTTGCCTGGAGGTAACAGGAAACCTGAAAGCTGGGGAAGGCTGGACTAGGAAGAGCAAGTAGAACTGCCTCCCACACTTCTTGCAAAAAGAGAAAGAACTACAGCATATAACAGTTAGCTACCTAGGAATTCTTATACTATCTTTTGTTCCAGACTGTAAAAAGGTACTGAAGTATTTAATCCTATCAAGTCCCGATAAAGCCTGGAGACCATTTCAAGGAATACAACCTTCAAGATGAACTGCATCCCAACCTAAGCAAGGACACTTCAGCCAGGTCCGAAGAAAAAGTTAAATGTTGCTGACCACTTCCTGTTTCTGCCACTGAATTGATTTATGTCCTTACTTTCATTTATTTTCTTGGATCCATGTATGTTTGTCTCCTTTTTCACACAAAAACCACTTGCTTTGCAGCAAGACACAATCACATTTAATGGAAACCTAAATATTAATCCAAAGAATAGGACAGCATTGCTATAAAATGAATATATAAATAACCACCCTGAACCTGGATTGTTTGTATCTGACACTGGTCTTTCTACTTTCAAAAAGTGGAAATCACTGTCTCTTTAAATTTGAACTATTTCCCCTGCATATGTAAAATGAAAGAAAGAAAAGCTTCTATTTCCTGTAATCATATGCTATCTATTTATTTACCCTGTTCTACATTAAAATTAATAGTTTTCTTAACAATAAAAAACCAACACAAACCATGCAAGTATTTGCAGTCCAAAATTCTAAATCATCCTTCAGTTGGATGATTGGCAGAAAACTGTTGGCAGAAAACTGTTTCTTGGGAAACAGGTAATTTCTCACAAACAATTGGATTTAGAGACAAAGGGTAACCATGTCCTTTGCTAGTTCTCGGGGTGCTCTGAGTCAGGTTTGGGGCGAAAGTCATGTTGACAAAAGGGATTAGGAAACCCTCTCCATGACCTACATAGCACTCTGGTTTTTATTACATTTCCATCCCGTGAAAATATGATTGTCATTTAGAAGAGGGGCTAGTAAATTATGGTAAACCAGACCTGATTAAGCGCGGTGCCTTTCAAGCTTGTAATACACCAGTGATTAGCACTGATGAGGTTTGGGTAATGAAACGTCTGCCAGAAAACAGGCAAACTCACGAAAGCACCAAGGAGCCCCTCATTTCAACTCTGAGCTACAAATATTCTCCTTTATTGGTTTAATACCTGCGTTGCGCTCTATTTCTCCAATTTCTTCCTACTTCAAGTGGTTTGGCTAGACGCGCTCATCCGCCCTTGATTTACCTTCGGATTGAAGCCTAGCTTTTTTTCTCCAGGGTCAAATGAGGCGACTTCTGCTTCCAGGGTCTCTTGGGGCGGTCGCAGCCACCGGCTTTGCCCCTGGGCTGCCAAGAAGAGCTCGCGTGCCTCCCGACAGTGCCCATTCCCACGGTTTGCCGCGTCTGAGGTGGGGGACGCCGGAGCCTTGTCCTCCTCCTGCGCAAGCCGAGGAACCACTCGCGTGGCGGGAAAGCTTCGCGTCCCCTGCGCTTGCACATCGCGGAGCCGGAGGCATTGCTCCAGCAGTTTCGAGTCTTCCTCGTGAGAGAAGAACGGCATCCTCGAAGGAAGCTTTCCCCGGAATGCCAGAAGGGCGAGGCTAAGCGGGAGAGTGTCTTGCAGCCAATCTTCTTCTGAAGTGTGGCGTCAACTCCCACTCGGGATTTTCATCCCGCTTTCCTGCACCCGGTTTGGGACCGGAGTGGGGCGTGAGTGCGGAAGCCGTCCGAGGGGAAAGCAACTCGGAGCTCGGCTGTCGCAGCTGTCGTGTCCTCCCTTTCTAGCGTTTTTTGCCTGTTTCTACTTCTGTGGCCGCCGCGAAGGTCTTCCATGGGGCGGAGAAGTGTCCGGGAGGCGGAAGCTCCCAACTTGTTCTTCGTGGCGGTTTCATCCTCAGCCTGGACTTTTTCGCCATTAGAATTAGACGGGGAGGGGAAGCAAGAAGACGAAGATCGGAGACCAACGCGCAAGTAAAGGGGAGTCAAAAGGATTGGGGGCAGATGGTGATGGAATAGAGAGGCTCATCGGGCTTGCTAACTTGTTTCCCTTCAGACGTGTGTTAGATTTCCTTGTTTCCGAACGCCACAATTCCCACTAACTCAAAGGGTTTTCCGTTTCTAGAAGAGGGCTGTGCTGTGCTTGCCAGCACTGTATTTGCAGTCTTCGAAGCCGTTTTCGGATTTTAAGGGGTAGGGACAGGAGCGCTGAATGCCAAATTAGTGCCTTTGCTACTGAAAAGACCCTTTAAAGCCCAAATGGAGGAAAAGACTAAACATTTCAATCCCACCCAATCCAGTGATGTCATAACGATGACAGTGTATGACAGACTCCTCTTATGCATCTCTTCTCTGGAATCTAGATGCATGCAGATGATTTGTTACACACCATCAAAATTTAGATAAGCTGTAAAGCATTGTGCATCTTGTGAAATTTGAATGTAGTATAAAGCAATTGACACAATGTGTGATGGCTCCTGTGAATACAATTTCAACCTGGTACTACAAACAAGAAAGAACTCTATGGATATGTGCCATATTAGGAAATACTGGGGAAATCTTCAAAAAGTGGGCTAAGAATTTAGGTTATAGTATACAGATGAATCAATATGTGGTTAAATGGATTAAACTTTTCATTCTATTATTTTAAAAAGATTTTTTTAATAAAATGAGGTATCCTTGGTGTGTAAATATTAAAACCAGAAACTTTCCTTTAAAGATTGATAAACAGAAAAAAGCCATGAAACATTATTTCAGTATATGATTACTGTGGCAAGAAGGAAAAAATGGTCAGGATGCTCCTAGTGGAATGGCAGGTAAAATTGTAAAGAGAGCTCTGACATCATTCCTGGGATTGGTTTGTTTGACCCATTCTCTCAGCTTAGAAGTCACAGCCTTGATTTTTTTCTACCTTTATGTGGATCACTTTGGCCTTTACTTTCCACATTCTCTCCAATTCCTCTTTCAGCCCCTGATACTTTTCTAGTTGCTCATAATTCCCAAAGTCACTTGTCACTCCTATATCTATCATAACTGCTGCCTTCTGATCTTTGTCTATTATCATGATATCTGGCCAGTACCTGCCTGTCTGTCTGGATCTGGAAGTCCCAAAGCATCATAGTCCTCTTATTTTCCAAACCATTCTGTGGATCTCTCATCAAGGCTTAGGAGGATCTAGGCCACATTCTGTAAAGATATTGTGCACAATGCCAGCTACTTAGTTGTGCTATTCAGAGTATGCTGGTCTTGTTTGCATCTTACACTCTGCCACCCTATGTTGGACTGTCTTTGAGGCCTCTCCGTATAGTCTGCACCTTGTGTCCTGTCTAGTGTGGTAGACCCACTTCTGTGGATCCTGTGCTTAATGCCTGTTCTTGGGCTGTTACAATCATTGCCTTGGTGCTGTCTTTTAATCCAGCCATTTCCAGGCACTGGTAGGATTTCCCAATGCCTGCTACCTCAGCTATTAATGGTACATCCCAGGTAGGGATTTATCTTGCCATGGCATTTCCATTGCTTGACCTTTCTTCCACATCTTCTGCTGCTTCAAGCATTCCCTCAGCAGATTGTCTTTAAGAGCTGTCTGACTAATGTACTCGTAGATGCTCTGGGTTTTATCCATGACCAGTTACAGGTACCTTTTTATCCTACAGTTACATGGAACATGATGAGAAGGCAAAGAAGACAGCAACATCCAAGTAGATCCTGAAGAGCCAGCTCAATGGAAAGAAGATCCATGGATGCATGGCCAGTCATACCCTGCCAATATAGTGAACTGGACAAAGAAGGACATAGAAACTCTGGCTTTGACATTCACCAGATCCCAACAATCGTCCTTCCATCTGGTATACAGTCTCTTGGACTTCGAGTGGAAATCTTTGCATATAGTGAGGAGCTTCTGAGTGTTCACGTTGGGAGCTTACATGTCCATGTGACCCACTGGTAATTCCATCCCATTAGTCTTAACTTTTCATCTCTTGATTACCATCTGACTATACTTCTCTAGTTGAATGACATCCTGATGTTCCCACTATAGATCCACGTCAAGTGGGTCAGCAAGTCGAGTTCTTGTTTATTCTTTGCATACAATTTGCTGTCATCCATGATTGATGTTAGTCCACTCTTGAACTTGTATCCATTTCCAATGTTTGTGACTATCTGGGTTTAAGCATATGTAGAAAACAATGGGAACAGTGCGTCCCCTTGGTTTATTCCACACATATTATATGCCACATAGAATCATAAATTTGGAAGGGACCTCAGAAGTCTTCTGCTCCAAGCTCCTGTTCAAGACAGGAGCCTTATGCCATCTCAATTAAATAGTATGTTTGATCAATCAAATCCAGTGTATTTTTGATGTGATGGTCACTTGTGTGAATTATCTTGATTCAGCTTCTAGTTTGTCTTCCACAGTACATTGAGTTCCTGAGACAAGTTTTTACTCTATTGTTAACTTGGTATAGTGGCAGGCCTTCATAGATCATGTGTGTGTGGCATTGAATCACAGGCTTCTCCTTTAGTCAATCCAAGCTGTGCTCAGATTGGTTTGTCTAGATTTTGATTCTTGGGAGACTTCTCTATTTATGAGCAACTGGTATTTTGAGCTGCTTTAATGTTGGTCCAAAAGCCTTTTTGAACTGTGCTTGTATACTGGCCAAGATGGTCCTGTAGCTGTCTGTTACTATGATGGTGACTGATTCTAGGAGATTGCTATGGTCTGTTCTTAGATCTTGCAGCCATTTTGCACTGCTGTTATAGGTCTTCTCTTTCTGCCATATGTCCTTCTAGTACTGTACTTTGGCTGTACTGTTACTATGTTATTGTACTACAATTTTGAGTATATCTTGGATGGTTCTTTGGGGAACAAGGCTTTTATTTTCTTAGTCCCTGCTTCTCTAGTGTATTTCCTTAGCCTGGTACCCAGTGCCTTTGTTTAGCAGTCTCAAAGGCTTCAGGTGGAGTTAGACCCTTGGATTTTTTTAGAGTGATGTCTTATCCCCAATCTTTTTACTCCTTTCTATAATTCCACCAATTGACTAACCTCTCTATGATTTAGATCTGTATCTCCAGGATTACAGAAGCTGTGGCATACATAATTGATCTAAGTTATCTTGGTAGTACAGATTATTGAGGGGGCTCTATTGGCATCTTTTAATATATTATCTGATATTACTTCTCTACCAAGCCTTGGTAACTGGTCTTGTGGGTTGATTATAGCTAGTTTACCACGGTTTTATGCTTCATATCAGCAACTGTGCTCTGTAGTTGGAGAGGGTTATAATGCCCCATCCTCAGGTGTTGCTGCACATCTAATTGTTCTTTCAGGTTTTCTTGAGTATGGGATGTAATCTGTAGTTGGTTCTTCTCCAGTTGTGATAGCAGCTTTCTGTTCACTGTGTTGAAGCATTGGATAACTAGTTGTTTCTCAGTTACTGAGGTTGCAGATATTCTGTCTCACCACTATTCTTCCATATGCTCTGTATATCCCTCTCATGTCTCATTGTATGTCACCTGTATGTAATGGGATAGAATGTACAATAATATCATTTTATCCATTCTAGGCTGTCTTGTCTCATTTATGAAAGGTTTGTTCAAATAGCCCACATATAATCAGATTCTCTTGATTCCTCAACGTTTGACACAGATTGAGTTGGGTGATGCCTCAGCTGGCATGACCATCCTAGTTTATGTCTCTCATATTTTGAGGCAGCTGAATATCTATATCATAGATAGATAAAATTAGATAAATAGATAGATAGATAGATAGACAGACAGACACACGAACTGTGTGGGGGGGATGTGTGAAATGTAGTTTTCTCTATAGATAATTGCATACCTGAAATCTGCAGAGAAAAAGATAAAAAAAAAACTATGGACATAATACTTTAAAAAGAGCAATTTTCACAGCCTCCTAATGCAAATGACTTTCAGTCTAAAAATTGATAGCAGGAAATTTGAGAGGAAAAAGGCAGGAGATATAAAAGGAAAGGCAGATGGAGGAAAATATGTAGGCCCCTCAATAATAACTATGTGGCCTTAGTTCTAACATGGAATTGTTACTTGTGAAATCCTTCCAGGGATGATTATTTCCCAGGAGGCATTTCTAAAAATTATGATTGCTTCATACTGTTGGAGAAGTTTGGAATAAAAAGACAGCAGGAAAAAATTAAAATGTTGCCTTCAGAGAAGCAGGGAGTGGGATGTGGCTTAAAGAGCACTTAGCAGCTTTTTGATTCTATATTTTGGAATATGAGAACAGAAAGATAAATAGCAGACATTCATGGATGGTTTGGAAGGCAAGAATGAGAAATTATGCAGGAGGAAATAAAATTCTGGTATAGCATTTAATTAAAAGTCATTCTGAGCTTCTGAATAATAAATAATCTCTTCTTAAACAAATCACTGCGATGTAAGTACCTATGTTTACTAAATTATGAGCTTACCTTTGGGGCCCTTGTTGCATGCAGTCAGCATTCTTAAATGTAGAACTTTCACTGTTTAGCCGGTTACAAAAATATGAAAATGTATTAAGTATTTTTTAAAAAAATATATGAACCTTTTAAATAGTTGGTACAGCAAGAAGTCTAGTGGTTTCTAGGAAACTGTTTGTACATACCATGTTGTAGCTCTCAGATATAAGCAAAGGAAGTATAATTTTCAGATTTGGAGGGGAGGAATGGATGAAGATATGTATTATCAATAAAGGAGAAAATAAAGACATATGTTTAATGACAGTCAGCAAAAGACTGGCTGATAGGTAAGCACATAAGATGTTTTGCCAGAGACAAACTACTCAAATAGAGAATGCACTAAAGCAATATATTGGCAGAAAATAATTTGTGGTGCAGAGGTGTTTACTTAAATATTTAGTGTAACAAATCAATACTTGCAGAAGTATAATACTGCCAAAAATATTTTGCATCTCACTTCCCATTTCAGTTTGTCCCCAAATAAATGTTAATAGACAACAATGGTGCCTGAAATCTGCAATCTAGGCAATCTACAACCATTTGGCGCATTCTTTGTCAATATTTATTACCCAAAGAGATAAATAAAATGAGCAATGAAAAAAACAAACAAACACCCAGAGCAGAAGTGATTCCAACTTCCTGCTGGCTTCCATATTGCCTTTGCTTGTAGGAAGCTGGCAGGGAGCATTAGAAATCATGTTTATGAGATCATAACTGTCCGTGGCAGCCTTGCAGGAGCCACAAATTTGTGGATACAACTGGTTTGAAATTTCAATTCCACGGGAATGATGGGTCATAATTTTGTACACATTCTTTAAGTTAGTGTAATTGAGATACTTTAATTCAAACATGTTGCTCCATGGTGCAAAATTTTGGCTAATTGAAAATAACGAACAGATAGGAAAGTGTTAGTAGTATTTGGCATTTACTAGTATATAGATTTTGATTTTGGTAGGCAATAAATAAGATTAATTCTAAGCCAAACTGTAATGCAATGCAATTTATTTACATATGCTTTTTAGTAAAATCTTAGAGTATATCGTAGTAGAATATAAACTTTATTGATTTAGTCATTTGACTGTATCAGAGTATAAAATGAATACAAATATACAAACAGATGCAAACAATAGAATATGTTCATAATAAGAATAACTATATTTAACCCCAATCTGATCTAAATATACTTTAAAATGACCTTTATTATAAAAATTGTGATCTTCCTAGTGATATGCAGTTTCATTTCCTGCACAAAGTAAGGAATATCTCCTGGGTGCTCTAGTATTTTTTTAATTTTTAAAGAAGAATCTAAATAAGCAGCTTTTTCTAAAGAGTACAGTTTGCAATCAAAAAGAGTATGCCCAAAGTCTTCAACAGCTGATGTTCCACAAATGCAGTTTTCTCTTCAATTGGAACTTGGTCATATCTTACCATGGAGTTTAGTTGTTTGAAAAGAACTCCATGAAGAATTTGTGGAGTTCTTTTCAAACAACTAAACTCCATGGTAAGATGGAGATTTTGAGATATTGAAGCATATAAGTTGTTAAATATTTTCCTAAATGGGAGGATAATTTGTGTTGTAAGACTTGTAAACTTA